TTCCGGAAACCGCCGGGGACACGCGGGGGTCACACGGGGGGCACTCGGGGGGCACACGGGGGTCAGCCAGGGGTCACACGGGGGTCACTCAGGGGTCACACAGGGTCAGTCAGGGGTCACTCAGGGGTCACTTGGGGTCAGTCAGGGTCACTCAGGGTCACTCAGAGGTCACTCAGGGGTCACTCAGGGGTCACTCAGGGGTCACTCAGGGTCACTCAGGGTCACTCAGGGTCACTAAGGGGTCACTCAGGGGTCACTTGGGGTCAGTCAGGGTCACTCAGGGTCACTCAGGGGTCACTTGGGGTCACTCAGGGGTCACATGGGGTCAGCCAGGGGTCACACGGGGGTCATTGGGGTCAGTCAGGGTCACTCAGGGGTCAGGGGTCACTCAGGGGCACTCAGGGTCACTCAGGGTCACTCAGGGGTCACTCAGGGGTCACTCAGGGGTCACTCACCCAAGGCCAGGCTCAGGTTCTCGCCCATCCCCAGCAGCTGCGCGAAGCAAACGGCGCCACCAGGGGGCGGCCTGGGGAGCCTGGGGGGGCGAGGGGACAAAATCACCCCAAAATTACCCAAAATCAGCCAAAATCACCCCAAAATAAGCCAAAATCACCCAAAATCAGCCAAAATCAGCCAAAATCACCCAAAATCACCCCAAAATCACCCAAAATCACCCCAAAATCAGCCAAAATCAGCCCAAAATCACCCCAAAATCAGCCAAAATCACCCCAAAATCAGCCAAAATCACCCGAAAATCAGCCAAAATCACCCAAAATCAGCCCAAAATCACCCCAAAATTACCCAAAATCAGCCAAAATCACCCCAAAATCAGCCAAAATCACCCAAAATTACCCCAAAATCAGCCAAAATCACCCCAAAATCACCCCAAAAATCACCTCAAAATCACCCAAAATTACCCAAAATCACCCCAAAATCAGCCAAAATTACCCAAAATTACCCCAAAATCAGTCAAAATCAGCCCAAAATCAGCCAAAATCACCCCAAAATCAGCCAAAATTACCCAAAATTACCCCAAAATCAGTCAAAATCAGCCCAAAATCAGCCAAAATTCACCCCAAAATCACCGAAAAATCACCCAAAATTACCCCAAATCCACCCCAATTCACCCCAAATTTACACCCAAAATCACCCAAGTCCTGCCCAAAATCACCCCCAAAATTACTCAAAATTTACACCCAAAATCAGCCCAAAATCACCCAAAAATCACCAAAGAAAATCATAAAAAATCACCAAAAAATAATTTTAATATCACCAAAAAAATCATAAAAAATCAGCAAAAAAATCACCAAAAATTCATTAAAAAATCACCAAAAAATAATTTAAAAAATCATTAAAAGAATCACCAAAAAATCCTTTAAAAATCACCAAAAAAATCATTAAAAAAATCATTAAAAAATCACCAAAAATCATTAAAAAATAATTTAAAAATCACCAAAACATCATTATAAAAATCACAAAAAAATAATTAAAAAAATCATCAAAAAAATCATTCAAAAATCACCCAAAAATGGTTAAAAAAATCATTAAAAAACCACCCAAAAATCATTAAAATATCAACAAAAAATCATTAAAAAATCACCCAAAAATAATTTAAAAAATCACCAAGAAATCATTAAAAAAATTTAAAAAAATATTTAAAAAAATCACAAAAAAATAATTAAAAAATAATTTAAAAATCACCAAAAATCATTAAAAAATCATCAAAAAATCATTAAAAAAGATCACAAAAATTCGATAAAAAATCACCCAAAAATCATTAAAAAATTACCAATCATTAAAAAAATCATTAAAAAATCACCAAAAAATCATTAAAAAATCAACAAGAAATCATTAAAAAAATTAAAAAAAAAAATTTAAAAAATCACCAAAAAATCACCAAAAAATCATTAAAAAATCACCAAAAAATCATTAAAAAATCACCAAAAAATCATCAAAAAATCATTAAAAAAGATCACAAAAATTCGATAAAAAATCACCAAAAAATCATTAAAAAATCACCAAAAAATCATTAAAAAATCACCAAAAAATCATTAAAAAATCAACAAGAAATCATTAAAAAAATTAAAAAAAAAATTTAAAAAATCACCAAAAAATCATCAAAAAATCATTAAAAAATCACAAAAAAATCATTAAAAAATTATTAAAAAATCATTAAAAAATCACAAAAAAATCATTAAAAAATCATTAAAAAATCACAAAAAAATCACAAAAAAATCACAAAAAAATCATTAAAAAATCACCAAAAAATCATTAAAAAATCACAAAAAAATCATTAAAAAATCATTAAAAAATCACAAAAAAATCATTAAAAAATCATTAAAAAATCATTAAAAAATCATTAAAAAATCATTAAAAAAATCATTAAAAAATCACCAAAAAATCATTAAAAAATCACAAAAAAAATCATTTAAAAATCACCCAAAAATCGTTAAAAAATCACCCTAAAAATCACCAGAAAATCATTAAAAAATCACCCAAAAATAATTTAAAAAATCACCAAGAAATCATTAAAAAAATTTTAAAAATATTTAAAAATTCACAAAAAAATCATTAAAAAATCATTTAAAAATCACCAAAAAATCATTAAAAAATCGCCAAAAAATCATCAAAAAATCATTAAAAAAGATCACAAAAATTCGATAAA